TGACTAACTTAACGAAATGCGTACAATTTTTCAGTAATATTTTCGTAAATTTATCAAAAATATTCCTACAATTATTACTTTTCAAAAAATTATGTAAAATGGTTTGCTGAAATACAAGTTTTTGCCCGACGAGCGTGTCGTTAAAATTACTAAAATTGCCCGACAAACTGCAATATTACAACATTGGGGGTGTCGCACACCCCCCCCCCCCTTCCTCCCGCCAGGAGTTACGCCCCTTGCAAAATCGTACATGAATATGAAAATTTGAGTACGAGGAGCACATAGACTAAAAAAGCTTGATAACAAGCGATGAAAACATTAAACAATGCGTAAATCGCGGACGTGAGTCCACAGGTGTTATCGAAGCGTGTAAACTTTTCATGTATATATATTATCAACAAGTAATCTGATTCAGGGGCGGATCCAGACGCATCAGTCACATTTTTCGCACGAACGAGAGTTGTGAATTGAGTAAATAGAAATGATAATTTTATTAAAATACAGCATAACGCTTGAATATTGGTTTTCTTTTATCCAAAGTCCTTTCAGATAATACATTTTCACACTGAAGTAATAGCATATGGTTTGTCATTAGTTTCTCATGCAGTTTGGAGAAACATACACTCGTGAGTTTTTTAAAGACTTCAAATTGCACTCGTCCTTCGGACTCGTGCAATTTTGATAGACTTTGAAAAAATCACTCCTGCATGTTTTTTCCGAAACTCGAAACCATACTATTACATATACATAATCTTAACAAACCTGGTATAAATCTAACCCAGAAACACTACTATCCTCCAAATCAATCTTACACTGCAATATGATGCTAAAGGCACTTAACACGTAACTTTATCCAACTCTAATACAGATACCCCAGTATGAAAAACCACTTTGTCACTTATTTCGTAAACTCAGACAGCGAGAGACACAAAGAAATTACGTATTCTGTCTGTGCTCGAAGTTACGTAATCAAGGTCAGAAAGCAACCCTAAAAACCAGGCTTCATATAAATCATATACACTATTAGTATATTATTACACTATAACAATCTCGTATTTATCTACCTAACAGATAGCCGACGCAATGAGACTGTCTGTAACGGCGTATTCTGTAATTGAAAGCTACGTTTTTCAAACTTGCTCTATCATACAATTTGACACGCTATTCCGGGTGGCTATGAAGTCCGCTAGGTATCACGCGTGTAAACATGTAGTATTTCAGTCAGTTCACGATCAAACTCATTGTGTTTTTAAAGGGGAAATGTTCTGTGAAGTGCGCATATTATTTTCTCAGTGTTACTGTGTTAAAGCGGGCAACGAAGTTTTAACTAGGCTTTGTACTCGCAGATCGCAAGCACATATCAAATGACAGTATAGACTTACTGGCAAAAAATGTATGATTCCTCCGCAAATAATATAGCGAGAATGGCAAATGCACTTTAGAACATAACACAACAGAAATATATAATACAACGTCTATGATCGGTAACTTGGGTTTTAGTTGACTATTAGCGCAAACGATAAGCTTGGAAAATCATGATTTTTGCTAAAACAAACAGTATCGGCCCAATGTAAATTCCATTGCAATTTAATACGATATTTATTATTGTTGCGCAAATAGCAAACTTATTTTAACTACTGTAGCGCAGAATGCGCAGGCAAACTGCAAACTTCCCGAATCAGTAATTTCGAAAACACACAAATCATGAATCTACCGTGACAACCAATAAATTTTACACAATTTTGTTTCAAATACATATTGCAACGATAAACAACAACGACTAAGGATTATATCAACCACACTCGGCCACTACTAAATTCTAGATACACGTTTATATTTATAATACATTTTAAAGGAAGAATTAAAATAGCTAAACGGTGACGTTAAAGGAAGATCATACTTAATTCTCAATTTGTAATTCCTCACATGTACAGGCTGCTCACCAGATATTTTTCATACGTAGTTATACGTCGGTATGTCCGTATGTCAGTGTAGGAACGGAAACGTCCAAACTTTAATCATCAACAAATACACTTCATTCTTCAACTGCACAAAATTAGATTGCTGTTCTTTTATTCATTTAGTTATTTCGTAGTTCACGCAGACTGTTTCATTATTTTTGGACGAATTTATCATTGTGTCTGCTTTACTTTCAAAATGCGATTGCCAAAATGGCTGCCGCTACCGTGAAGTCAACCAACAACGAGTAGCCACTAAAATATGCAAAAGTAAGTTTAATTCACCGTTCAGAACGTGCAGATTGATCTATTCCATTTCTACATAGAAAATATTCGCTTTACAAGGCGTGTAGACTCGGTTATTATTGTCTTGAACATAAAAGAATTTCAAGATCCTCTTTATTTCTCAGTTTTCTGCGAATTAGGGAACTGATTCAACGACAAGCTGGCGAATATGCAGCTTTAGCAAACGGTGATCGCTAGATAGTATACTTCAAAATAAGGTTTCTGTTTTTATAACGTAGAAAAACCTATCCTAACGCAAAACTAAACCCTAACCCTAATACTAACCCTCACCCTAACCCCAACCTAACCCTAACCTAAACCCTAACCTAACCCTAACTTATTTTAATTATTTTAAAAATTGATATAAAAATGGAAACCTTATTTTGAAGTATACTATGTAGCAATTGCCTTTAGCAAACGCGACGCAACACCTCGTTTACTTCCGGTTCGAATCTATCTTTTTCGAAGCAAATTTCTTGTTTTCTATTCGCCGCTTGCACATTTCATTATCGTTTTCAATTATTTATCAAGGTAATGTGCAAGAAAATGCTTTATTATGGTGAATATCAAGATTTTGTTGGCGTCTCACTCGATCGAATAATAGTAGAATGGTATTGTAGATGGAAATTATCCAGTGGAAATTTATATACATTTATTAGACCTTAATGAAGAATAGATGCGAAAAATACAACTTATAAATTTCCACTCGATAATTTCCATCTACAATACCGTTCTAATAAAATACAACACAATGGAAACTGTATTGTATTTTATTAGAATACTCAGTGGTTACTGAAAATATTAATACCGTTCTATTCATTCAATCGAGTGAGATGCCAACAAATCTTGATATTTACACATAACCTATACATGGCGGTACCCTAGTATATATACATGAACTTGTGGTTAGAGCTCGACAACTGGCGTACTGTAGCTCAGTTGGTTAGAGCGCTGCACCGGAATCGCAGGGCCGCAACGGAAAACTAAGGAATGTTCGGAGCTTTTTGCAAGGAATTCGCAAATTTGGTCCAAATAGTTGTCAATTTTTGTGGATAAATTTAAAATTCTAGGTTTAAAACATAGCAAATGACGAACTAATGATGGATTTTTAAAAACTAAAAGAAAATATACGCACTTTTTCAAATGGTGAAGCAAGAATTATTGATTTTGACACGAAAGAACCAAGTATAAAAGTTGAACTTTATTTTAAAACTGGGTTCCATATAAAAGGCCAAGCATTTGTTTTTCAATTTTTCCTTACGACTTCCTACCCAATTGGAGATCAAAAGGTGGTACTTCTAACGCCAATCTTGCATCCTGAGGTTGATCGCTCGGAAATATTGAAGTGCTAGGTAATGATATATTTTCTTTGATATTAAATAATAAATAGTGTAAACTTTTATAGCTCTTGACTCTTTGAGAGGCAGCACTCTCCCCTTGACGAGTAAAACTGTTTGGAGTTAGACAGAATAAAATAGTAAAGTAGGGTGTATCAAGGTGCAATGCAGCTTGACTCATTGATCCCCAGCAATATCCCCTCGGCAAGGTAGAATTTAGTCAGCTTTGCATGGCATGAGTCCCAGGAGGGAATACTGGTCGTGCCACCTGGCACCATAGACAATCCAGAAGACACCGCCCACCATGGGAAAACCCTGCACATATGAACTTGGCTGAACCAACGTCAGAAAATTTTCAGCCAGAGTTTTGTGAAATCAACTGTAACTAGTGGGCACTTGGAGACTGCATACCTTTCCCAGTGAATTAATTAATTATGTAATATGCATAAATTATATAATGGCTAATTATGTATTCAGCTTACTCTGGCCGACAAAACAAGACAAACCTTTCTTATCCAATTTTCATCTAAATTGAACTAAAATTCAATCAATTTGTGCTTGGGCAATTTCGATTAGTCCCACAATTTTTTGTATTTAATATATTTGATGGTTTTTGACTGATCATGCTGACAGACAAACACACACACACACACACACACACACACACACACACACACACACACACATATACAAACACGGATGAAAATATAACCTGGCCGAGATATAATATTACGCCGATGAAAACATAACTTGGAAGAGCTGATAATCAGTGTTCGCAAATGTCAGCGGCCAGGAAATTTTTAACAGAATATCTTCACAGGAAATCTTACATCTTGCAGGAAATATTTGTCATCTTATTACAAAAGCATTTTGCAAATTGAGATTATTGTGCAGGAAGTTTTATTTTTGGAATTTATTGCCAGGAAGAAAAATATATTTTCCTAGGCCTGGTTATAATAAAAATAATGGTTTAAAGTTTGTGAGTTCACAGCAAACAGGTGTATATCAGTTTTGTTTTCCACTACTCTGGCCTTTATAAATGAATTATGCAAAACACAGTCGAATTGCATTCATGACCCAATGTTTTGACACTCCAGTCTATATCTTCATCAGGGGAGATCTGAAGTCGCAACATGGCTTTTTCTATACCCATGGAATTATGCCAACAAGATAGAAGAGCAATAGATTTTCTAGACCTAGCCATGTAATGGCCTAGCCATGTAATGGCTCGAATTTCTGTTTCTTTTTTCTGTTCTTCCCCCCCCCCCGTACATATGATTAATATTACGTATTAATAATAATTCATAATTCCCCGATTCCCCTGTTCCCCCCCCGTTCCTCGTTCCCGCATTCCCCGTTCTCCAATTCCCCGTTCCCCCGTTCCTCCATTCCCCCGTTCCCCATTCCCCGTTCCTCCATTCCCCGTTCCTCCATTCCACGTTTTTCGACAGAGAAGACGATCTTTTTGCCTGTATTCAATCTACAAACACTAAAAACAAGTTTACTACTCGTATTCTACTCGTATGTACTCGTATTCTACTCGTATGTACTCGTATGTACTTGTGTTTTACTCATATGCACTCGTGTGTTACTCGTATGTTACTCGTATGTACTCGTATGTACTCGTGTGTTACTCGTATGTACTCGTATGTACTTGTGTGTTACTCGTATGTTACTCGTATGTACTCCTGTGGTGTTTTAAGGCCTGATTCCACGAGGCGGAATTTTTTGACCGAAACGAAATTTCTCTTTGTCTTTTTACAATTAGTTCTGCTCGAGAGCTCATGAAACAAAGAGAAATTTCGATTCGGTCGAAAAATTTCGCCTAGTGGAAAACCGCCTTTAGTCACGATCCTATTCTTGTCGACATAATTACGGCACACATCGTTTAATAGACAAACAACTGGGCATATTGTAAACACTGGACTGGACTTTGGACTGGACTTTGGACTATGGACTTTGGACTATGGACTTTGGACTATGGACTTTGGACTATGGACTTTGGACTATGGACTTTGGACTATGGACTTTGAAATTATATTATTTTAATTACATTAAAATCTAAACAGAGAACGAAAATTTACTGCTGAAAAGCGTGCTACTGGCTACACTGCATGCACATGCATGATATAATATATACAAGGTAAAAAATACTCAGTATCAGTTATATAGGTCATATATAGGTCATATATAGGTATACCGTCATTAGTATTTTTGCGCAAGTGAATAAATATATAACAAATCCTAAAAGTTGTCAAGTTGATTGGTCAAATTGACAAATTCCCCGTTCAAAGCCGCAATAATAATCGCGTGTAGTTTATACTTACACGTTATAGTTTCTCAATATTTTGTATTTGCCAAGAAACTTTTGCCCAATTGTTTCTATAAATCTATACAATAAAGAAGAAGTTCTGCAGTATAAACTGTACTATACATACTATAAATACAAATATTATAATAAAATTTAAATATTAAATAAAAAATATTACTGAGATGATCGTGTTATCCCACAGGCTTTGTCTATGAAATTGCACTGGTATACCTATATAACTGATAGTATATTTTACCTTGAATTATCATGCACAAATTTTCGTTCTTTGTTTAGATTTTAATTAATATAATTATACGAAAATCTTAAAAATAATATAATTTCAAAATCGAAAGTCCAAAGTCCAAAGTCCAAAGTCCATAGTCCATAGTCCAAAGTCTAAAGTCCAAAGTCCATAGTCCAAAGTCCAAAGTCCAGTCCTGTGTTTATAATATGCCCAAACAACTGTGAAGCTTCAATAAGTTTTTGCATGCACTTGTTCTTGTTGATACATTGAACAGCTTTCGGCGCTTACTTAACTTGGGTCAGTTATTTCGTTTCCACACATGGTGCAAACTGTTTCATTCGACGAGGAAGAAATATCAATTCTAGAGAATGTTTTTGTAGACCCATTGTGATTGTCGGCGCGATGAAGTAATTGTATGAAATGTACACACGCTTTTATTAAATATGTTAAAATTATTCGCGCCAAAATTTTTAATGCGATTTAAATTCCTGCAAGCGACACAAGTCGACCACTCGCAACTTCGTCGCTCGGGTCCTCCCCGACGCCCTCCCTCCCCCATGGTCGACTTGTGGCAAGTCTACAGTGATGTTTGTACAATTTCATGCTGTAAATCCCTAAAATTCAGCCACAAAATGTAAATAATTAATTATATTGATTGTACAGTATTTAGAATCACGAGAATACAAGAATAAAAGTATATTCTTGCTTCCACAATCAATATTTTTATATTTTCAAACGATTCAATTTCATCAGCCAAACGGGCGTGATAACCTTTGAAACGTTGCGTTTGCCAGAAAAGTAAACAAACGTGAAAATTTTTGCACGCTTCAAGCTTGAACGCAAATGACAGTAAGTTCTTCAAACATGCATCTTAGGCCTGTTTCAAACGTCGCATTTCGCATGTGTCGAATTCAATTGCTTGAATTATGTGCATGCAAAATTCGACGTCTGAAACGATTAAATGCGACGTTTTTAATTGCGGTCGACCTTAACTTTAAATTCGACCCGACCGGTCGCATAATGCGAGCTAAGTGCGAGCTAAATGCAACCTGTTTCAGACGTCGCATTTTGCATGTGTCGAATTCAATTCTGCTAGGGTGGGGCTAGCGGAAAAAGTCTGGAACGAGGTAAAAGAAGGACGGCATGTAGTGTTAATGGATCAAATTTCGCGTGTAGGACATAGAATGGTAATAATTTCATGGGTTTTTTTTGTGTGTTTGTGTGAAAAATAGTCAATAGCCTCATGTCAGTTTATATACAAGCGAAAATAAAGTCGCGAACAAGAACATTTATACGGGACTACATAGACATAGTATTTTTTCGTGCTTTAAATAAGACGAGCGACAGCTTATTTCGCTGGTATAGCCGTATAAATGGCCCTACTAACATACTGTGTTTATTTTTGAGCGAAACTTCGCTACAACACTTACAATTTCGAATTAAATGCATGCAAAATGCGACGTTTGAATCAAACGTCGAATTCATTGATTTCGCTCGAATGAAATGCGAATTGTATTCGACACATGCAAAATTCGACGTTTGAACCAGGCCTTACAATTAAGTTACTTGATACGCGATATTCGGTGACTACGAAGTTCGCTAGGTGTCACGCGTGTAAACCTGTAATATTTGAGTCATTTCATGATCAAACTTATCAAAGTATTGTGTTTCTAACGGGGAAATGTTCTGCAAAGTGCGCATATTATTTTCTTAGCGCTAGAGCGGGCAACGAAGTTTTAACTAGGCTTTGTACTCGCAGATCGCAAGCACATATCAAATGAGAGTTTAGACATATAGTGACACAAAATTTATGATTCCACCGCAAATAATGTAGCGAGAATTGCAAATGCATTTTAGAAGATAACACAACAGAAATATGTAATGTAACGTCTATGTTTGGTAACTTGGGGTTTTAGCTGACTATCATTATTAGCGCAAACGGTAAGCTTGGAAAATCATAATTTTCGACAAAACAAACAGGATCGGCTCAATGTAAATTTCATTGCAATTTATTAAATGCGATGTTTATTATTGTTGCGCAACTAAAAACCTTATTTAAAGTAACAGAGCAAACTGCACAGGCAAACTGCAAACTTCAAGAGTCAATGTTTTCGAAAAAACACCAACCATGAATCTACCGTGACAACCAATAAATTTTACGCAATTTTATTTCAAATACATATTGTGACGATAAACAACGACTAAGGAGTATATCAACCACACTCGACCACTACTAAATTCTAGATACACGTTTATATTTATAATACATTTTAAAGAGAGAATTAAAATAGCTAAACGCTGACGTTAAAGGAAGATCATACTTAATTCTCAATTTGTAATTCCTCACATGTACAGGCTGCTCACCAGATATTTTTCATACGTAGTTATACGTCGGTATGTGTAAGAACGGAAACGTCCAAACTTTAATTACATCAACAAATACACGTCAATCTTCAACTGCACAAAATTAGATGCTGTTCTTTTATTCATTTAGTTATTTCGTAGTTCACGCAGACTGTTTCATTGTTTTTGGACGAATTTATCATTGTATCTGCTCTACTTTCAAAATGCGATTGCCAACTAATGGCCGCCGCTACCGTGAAGTCAACCAACAACGAGTAACCACTAAAATATGCAAAAGTAAGTTTAACTCACCGTTTAGAACGTGCAGATTGATCTATTCCATTTCTACAAAGAAAACATTCGCTTTACACGGCGTGTAGACTATTATTATTGTCTTGAACATAAAAGAATTTCAAGGTTCTCTTTATTTCTCGGTTTTCTGCGAATTAGGGAACTGATTTAGCGACGCACTTCCGTACTGGCGAATAGACAGCTTTAGCAAACGCGACGCAACACTTCGTTTACTTCCGGTTCGAATCTATCTTTTTCGAAGCAAATTTCTTGTTTTTTATTCGCCGCTTGCATATTTCATTATCGTTTTCAATTATTTGTCAAGGTAATGTTCAAGAAAATGCTTTATTATGGTGAATAGTCAAGATTTTGTTGGCATCTCACTGGATTGAATAATAGTAGAATGATATTGTAGATGGAAATTATCCAGTAGAAATTTATATACATTTATTAGACCTTAATCAAGAATAGATGCGAAAAATACAACTTATAAATTTCCACTCGATAATTTCCATCTACAATACCGTTCTAATAAAATACAACACAATGGAAACTGTATTGTATTTTATTAGAATACTCAGTGGTTACTGAAAATATTAATACCGTTCTATTCATTCAATCGAGTGAGATGCCAACAAATCTTGATATTTACACATAACCTATACCTGGCAGTACCCTAGTATATATGCATGAACTTCCGATTAGAGCTCGACAACTGGCGTACTGTAGCTCACTTAGTTAGAGCGCTGCACCGGAATCGCAGGGCCGCAAGTTCGATTCCTGCCAGGAATTTTGGGGAAAACTAAGGAATGTTCGGAGATTTTTGCAAGGAATTCGAAAATCTGGTCCAAATACAGTTGTCAATTTTTGTGGCCACATGACAAAACTTTTCTTCAAAATGTGAAGAAATTTTGAAATAAATTTAAAATTTCAGGTTTAAAACATGGCAAATGATGAACTAATGATGGATTTTCAAAAACTAAAAGGAAATACAATCACTTTTTCAAACGGCGAAGCGAGGATTATTGATTTTGACACGAAAGAACCAAACAAGGCAAGCATATACAAAGTTGAACTTTATTATTTTTAAAACTGGGTTCCATATAAAATGCCAAGGGTTTGTATTTCAATTTTTCTCTTTGACTTCCTACGCAATTGGAGATCAAAAGAAAATTTTATAGCTCTTGACTCTTTGAGTGGCAGAATGTATAGTAATTATTTGGCGTCAGACAGAGTAAAGTAGTAAAGTAGGGCGCATCAAGGGCAATACAACTTTACTCATTGAGCCCCAGCGATATCCCATCGGCAAGGTAGCAAGGTTTTTTTCAGCATTTTCTCTCGTGTCCGTTTTTGCAGAGAAGATTGAGTTTAGCTGAAGAGCTGGGATGGCTGCACACCCCCCACCCCCCACCCTACCAGGGAGCTGACACTTCTACTTAATGTGGTAAAGCAGGGGCACTGAGGGACACTATAAGACATTATAAACTGGTTGCAAGACAATCCTTTCTTATCCAATTTTCATCCAAATTGAACTAAAATTCAATCAATTTGTGCTTGGGCAATTTCGACTAGTCCCACAAATTTTTGTATACAATATGTTTGATGGTTTTTGAATTATCATGCTGACACACACACACACACACACACACACACACACACACACACACACACACACACACACACACACACACACACACACACACACACATATACAAATGCGGTGAAAATATAACCTGGCCGAGATATAATATGCCGATGATAACATAACTTGGAAGAGGTTATAATCAGTGTTGGCAAATGTCAGTGGCCAGGAAATTTTTAACAGAATATCTTCACAGGAAATCTTACATCTTTCAGGAAATATTTGTCATCTTATATACTGGAATGTCATATTATTCACTTATTGTTTACAAAAAACGCGTTACAAACTATTTTCAATAATTCACAACTAGTAAATCCACCCAAAATATCCTTAATTTTGCAGATTTTGACTAATTTTTCTGCACAATTTAACCAAATACATTAAATCACTATAATTTTCCTCTAAATTTGCAAAATATATTCGTTTTTGGTAAAAATGTGTAAAAATAATTTATTTCAATTTTGCGGAATAAAAAAATTTACGGCTAGTTTTAGGAGTGATTTTGTACATTTTTGCAAACTTTATATATTTCCAACTTAAAATCAATTAATATTAATGAATTTGGAGGAAAGGTTAATTTCCCTCCTTAAAAAACCCAGAATTTTATGTTTACCTTTAAGATTTCCTCAAAATCCCTTATTTATAAAATATATTTTTACTGTCTTCAAAAAAATACTGCATAGTGAATATATGGTAAAAATAACAGCAAATAATCAGTTTTTTTCGCAGTGGAATATAGCAAAATGGCGGAATGAGCACAAAAAGAGACTCCGAATTTCAGACACCCAATTTGTTCGCAATGTAATAATTATAACAACATTTTGTTAATGAATCGACTGAATCTTTATCTCTTGGCTTTGCCTTTCAGTTTGTTATCTTGGACTTGGTGTTAGGTTATGGCTACCTGACGCGAATACTTGCAATCTTTTCCCACTAAATTAGATGCGGCGGTCAACGAGCTATTTAACAAATATAAAACATTTTCCGTGTTGATATACAGTTATATCAACACGAGTGGAAATTGGGAAAACGAGAAATTGTGTGGAAACACGACGCCCGCAGGGCGGAGTGTTTTCACACAATTTCGAGTTTTCACAATTTCCACGAGTGTTGATATTACTGTATATCAATACGGAAAAAATGTTTTATATTTGTTTTATAATATAGCACAAAGAAATATAAAGTACAACATTGAAATAGCTTTTTATTTATGCTACAATTTATGAAATAAACAAGCAAGAAAACATAGCAATCAGCGAGGCGAAGCGATCTCTAGTCTTTGTCAACTTCTCGAGGTGGATTTACAGTGAGATTCACAGTGCCGATCGAACAAGACGAAAAGATGTTGTCAAAGCTGGATCTGTGGTACATTGAGGTATTTTGAGACGTTGATGTTACATGGGAAAACACTTGAGCTGGCTGTGGGTCATTAAAATCAATTTGTAAGCTGGCATTTGAGGATACGAGCGATCTGGTGAGAATGTCACTGCTTTGTCGAAGCTGTGTTGAGGATGGACGCGAGTTATAACTCTTCAGCGACTGTTCATTTCGGTGACCTGAAACGGCCATAATGTGGCGGTTTTCAAGGCATGCATCGGACCAAAGAGTAATCGCGGTGGCTCTCACACAATGGTTTGTGTAGATGCTCGACAGTTCGGCTTCCTCGCTAATTTCTCTCATCATAACACCCAGCTTATTTACACCGAGTGGCCGATTTTCGTACCAAACACTGTCGCTTGGGGACCACTTTCGCTTCGGAAACTGGAAGAATGCTGAACAGTGTGGATTTAACTTGGATATATAAAGCTCCAAGGCATTGTAGCCGTCGCTGGGGTCGTCTGTAGCACGGTACATCCTGCCGTCTTTTTCAAAACTTTCCGTGTCATCAAATCCACCGGGATGATTTTTTGACAACTCGTCGTGGGTCATAGTCGCATACTGACGGGAATTTTCGTCAACCGCATAGGTA